AAGTTGGAAGCACGGAGGCGGCGTTTGACTCCTTTGTCGTCGAGAACATGCACCTCGAATGTGAAGTACTCGTGGAGCTGATGAGGAGGGATGGAGGGGGGTAGGAGGGAGGAGGAGGGAGGGAGGAGGTAGGGGGGGGGGGGGGGGCGAAGAAAAGGGGATTAGGATGTTGCCACAGAGAGGTTCGTAAGTACAAAGTTCCCCCCGACAAAACCCAGACTTCCCCCACATGCTCCAATTTTCGTACTCTCCACTCTTTCAAACGCACATTTTTGACAACGAGTACCAGCCACGGGAGCTTGATGCCTAGTTGGTCTTTGCTATCTGCGGGGCACGCGATGAAATTCTCCGCCACATTCTCCCCCACCAGTTCCAACACTCCCGAGGACACGTCTTCGTCCCCGACCCGTTTTATGCTCCCGTTGTGCAGTGATTTATCCCAAAGCTGGAGCGGCTTATTCCTAGGGTGGAGGAATAGGTAGGAAAGAGGAAAAAAGACATGCGGGCGCGGCAATCGACGGCTAGTGAGTGAGACCAACACGGGCATTCTCCACCACGCCGCATGCTTCGCACTGGAAAGCACGAGAGGAGGTGGACGTGTTCATTCATTTCCATTCTTCGTTACGTGCACGACGGGTGATGAGAATTGCTTAACCTCCTCCCCCCCCGTCCTCTATAATACCCGAGGGAATAAAGAATGGAAAGAAAACCGGACTGAAAGGTGTGGCGAAACATGCAGTGCGTTGCTTTGGTGCCCTTGATTTGCCTCCTCCCTGTGTGTGGGTGGCGAGCATGCGGAAGACCGATTGTGAAGCAGAACGATAAAACAAAGGGGGGGGGAACGGAGATAGGGAGCGGCGAGCGTGGAGGTGGCATGAACGAGGGATTAAAAATTAAATGCTATGAAATTACATCCATTCTGCACGAAAATTGCAAGAGACTGCAATGAAAAACGTGGGATACGTCCACACGGTCACGGGCGAGGTTTGTTGGTTGTTTTGCGTGCATCTGGGAAGAGTTTTTATCCCTCCCCAGGCACCTTCCCACTTCCGCCCCTACCGTTGTAATTTACAAGCCGTTCTGTCCTTTACCCGCCGTAGGCGCCATGCCCGCACTCCCCTCCTGCACCAAACAGAAACTATGCTGCTCTCCATCGATCTCGCCACTCCTGACACTGCTCAAGCGGTGTGCCTCCCGATCACTGCGTCCTTCCCCACGCGCCTCCGTATCCCCTCAGAGGGGCATTGCGCACTCTCTACCTCCTCCTCCTTCTCCCACCTTGTCACAACCTGTGCGCCTTCTTTCGTCTTCATGCCTACCGTATTGGTGCCCAGCGTCGTCATGGCGGTATCTTTTCATGTCACGTCGACTTGAGAGGCAGAGGGTACGCACTCTCCTCCATACGTATAAATCGCTCCAGCAGCAGCGACCTCCTCCTCCTCCTCCTCCTCCTCCTTCATTTATTTTATCACCTTCGGCTCCCCTAACCACCTCTGTGTTGCCCTCTCCAAGACGTGGGGCCGTCCGCCTCCTCCTCCTCCTCCTCTTTTCCTTCCTTCCCTCCCTCCTCCTCCTCCTCCTCCTCCCCTTCCTCCTCCTCCTCCTCCTCCTCCTCCTCCTTTAACTCTTCCTCCAACTTCTCCCTTCCTCCTCCTCCTCCTCCTCCCTTCCTCCTCCTCCTCCTCCTCCTTCTCCTCCTCCCTTCCTCCC